ACAAACTATGTTAAAAAAAGATATCAACAAAGTAGGAGATTATGAAACATTAAATACTGATATAATAATATTATTTTTAACCCATAATGATTCAGAAAATGAGTTTAGATTTTGAGTCTTTGACTCTTTGGGGACTGGTCGGGTAGGGTTTGAGATCAGAATGGGTAGTATTACACTATATTTGGTCGGTTCGGGTCGGTTCGGATCAAAAGTTTCCAACCCGCCCCGACCCGCCCTACTCATAAAATCGATTTTTCCGGGTCGGTTCGGGTCGGTTCGGTCGGTTTTTTCGGTTTGGACCGAACCATGCTCAGCCCTAGTTGCTGTTGTTAAGTTCCTTGACTGATAAGGATTGCGAAACCTTTGTTCTTACCCTAATTAATGGTAAGACGTCCCTTTCGTATAGTGAGGTCATCGCTGCACTTGTAAATTATCAGCTTCGTAAGAAGGATAATGATGCTTCAGTTGAGCCGGTAGCGGAGACATTGATCGCAAGAGGGAAGAATCTAAACTGAAAGAATTGGAAGTCACAGTCTAGAGTAGGGCATCCAACGGTTGAAAAAGATCAGTGGGCTTGGTGCAAGGAGACTGATCATTGGAAGAAAGATTGTCCAAAACTCGACGAATGGATGAAGAATAAGCAGAAGGGAAAAGGAAAGCAACCATCATCAGAAGCAAACATCGTTATTTTGGATGGTAATATTTCTAATACTTCTATTTATTCGCTTTCTATTAGTCCTACAGGTAGCTATTCGGAGAAATCCGAGTGGATGTTGGATAGTAGTGTGACTTATCATGTATGCTCTAGAAGGGAATGGTTCTCTAGTTTTGAGAAACTGGATAGTGGTGTGATGTACATAGGAGACAACCATGCAAGTCAGATCCTTAGGATAGGAAGAATTCACATCAAGATGTTTGACGGAATTGTTAGAGAGTTATATGATGTGAGATATGTTCATTCCTTAAGGAAGAATTTGATCTCAATTGGAGCTTTGGTTGGAGAGGGTCTGAAGATTTGTGTTGAGGACATGGTTCTCAAGATCGTGGAAGACTCTTTGATTGTAATGAAGGGCGTCATGAGGAATAACCTATACTATTTGATTGGAGATACAGTGACAAGTGGAAAGCTGATGACTTCTGTTGATTCGACTAGACTGCAGCATTTGGGGCTTTGTCATTCCAGTATTGATTTGGAGATGGGTGCATCGACTTGCAGTTTGAAATCCAGTGAACATTTTGGTGTGAACAAAAAGACCTAGGTGAAGTTTGGCACCTCTATTCACCGCACAAAGGGTCTTTCAGATGGGGTTCACGTGGATGTTTGGGGGCCTTCCAAGGAGGTATCGTTGGGAGGAAATATATGTTTGGTTTTCTTTATTGGTGGATGTTCTAGGCGTGTTTGGGTTGCAATCAAATCCCCTTTGGATAAAGTCGTAATTGTCTCCAACAGATTGAAGAAGTGTGAGATTGGCAGAAAAGTGAATGTACTTTATTCAGGTTTTTGGTAGGAGGTACAAGATGGACCTATTTTTGTTTTGGAGCCTAGCTCACGGCATTTCGAGACACTTCGTTGGAGAGGAAATATTAGGGCAACTAGATATGGTGGTAAATTTTGAGAATCGTGCCTTGTTGGAGGAGGATCGGTGTTGGTTGTCAAGCAATGGTCTGCAGAAGAGTTTCTGGACTAAGGCTTCGACATATTTGGGTCATCCTATTAAAGAGTTATCAACTGCTATGATTGGAGGTAAAACTCAATTGGATATTTGGTCTGGTAACGTCACATTGGATGAGACTTTGATGAGGGAGCATATTGACTCTCAGCAAGTAAAGAGTTTTGGACAGATCATAGAGATAGCACATCAGGTGGAGAGTGATGCTACTTCATATTGGGTGGAGATTATTCCATATACTCCAGATCATTCTGTATTGTTTGGGATTCCAGCTGAGGTAACACAGTTAGGGGATCGTTTAGATTTGGATGTAGATGATGAGTTGTTTTTGTATTTGAGTGCAGCTGGTGGATATGATCTGGATACAACCATTGGTTCACCTCAGATGGAGGTGTTTGATATATTTCAGTTTGGGGCCTTTGGGAGAGCTATCAGTTGCAGATCCGTTCGTGATGTTGGTGAAGAGTTACAAACTTTTCTATTTGATTGAGGTCTTTTGGAGGCCATTGGATGAACAACATGAGGTTTGATTCCTTGGACAAGAGGATACGTATGCAGTCTTTATGATGCAGCCGATTTGGTGAGTTGATACCGATATTTAGAGAGTGTTCGCATTCTCGTTTAGGTCTCGACTTGTGGTGGATTGAGTTTGTTGTCATGAACTGTTTCACTTTGTACTGGACACAACAAGTAAGACATTTGGTTTGGTTGGTATCGACTTAGTTTTGGGAAAACTTTATCGAGGTAGAGAATTATGAACATGTGGGGTGTGGGGGGCCTCACCCACGTTTTCACAGCGCACAAAACGCAAACGCGTGAGTGCGTTCTCTTGGGGGCCACAGTCGGGCGTTTATCAATGAACGCATTTTAAACGCGTTTTTCAATGCGTACACCAGCCAACTATGAATAGGAACGTGAATAGCTTGCCTAGGTTTTGGTGCAAGGGTGCAAAGGCAAAGTTTTTTTAGAGCAGCAGCTGTGTGTGCAAAAGGAGGGGAAAATGCAGAGGCTTGGGCGGCGTGCAAGTACATGGAAAATTTACAGAAAGTGCAAGGCTTCGTGCAGAGGAGAAAAACCCTATTTGGCGGCTGTCCTTTTGAAAGAAAGATTGTTTGAGGATTTAATTTTGTGTGATTGTAAGTATTCTCTCCTTCTAATAGTAGATCTTCCGCTTTCTTGCCCCGTGGACGTAGGCAACTTGTCGAACCACGTTAAAATTATTTGTTCGTGCTGTGATTTGTAATAGACAGTTTAGGTTCTCTCGACAAGTCAGTCCTAGAACTGATAAGAGGAAGAGCTGATATCCCACTTTGTTAAGATATTTTACTTTCTTGTTTCCTTTGTAAAACAGGGATTTAGTTGAGATCTACTCTCTTATCGAGCACTAGAGTTGCTGCCGAAATTTTCGCTACGCACAACAATTAATTCTTTTATTCAAATTTACTTGTATTATTTAAAGAAAAAAAGATTGTAACCTGACCTAACGAAATGTTATAGCCTAATTAGTGACTTTCTTCTATATATAGGATATCTTTTCTAATGATAGTTGAGGAAAAATAAAACACTTAATGTTATAGCCATTTTAGTGATAGAAAATAATCATCGATCGATGGCAAACAAGTATCCCACATTATGCATAATTAGGTCAACATCTCAAGATAATTAGAAGCCCAGTTCCGTCGACTCGACACGCCAACATCCTGGGAGTACAACTCGAAAGACGTCACATGTCGATGACCCGAAAGGCGTTACTCATCGTCCCCCGCCTGAGTCGATTACTTAAACACTATACTCGGCCAACTCATCAGCCGACACTTTGCGAGGGCAACTCAAAAGGCGGTACTTTTCGACCATCAGACGAGTAGAAAGACGACGAAACGCCTCAAGCCCCTCCTAAGCACTAATGACCAATCACCTAGCCATAAATGCCATTAAATGCATTATGGGCGCCATCATTCTTCTTCCTCCAATAGTATTTATAACACATCAAACCACATTGATACCGCACACCCCACATCGCTTTACATTAAACTGAAGTGACTTCTTCTTCACTCGTCGGCCGACAACTGTAAAGTTGAAGCTGACTTGATTGTCAGCCCATATTCGACCGAAGTTACCATTCTACCCCTCCTTTCACTATTATAAAAGGAGATACTATTTTCCATTACAAGGTAAGCTTTTTCTAAAATTCTCTGAGCTTAAGAACTACTACAATTCCTTTTACTTCTCCACACAAGCCACTCACTGACTTGATCGTCGGAGGAACAACCGGGGAATCACACCCCGCCCTGGCACGATATGAAAATGTACATTTGATTCACTAGCTGGTTTTACCGAATTTTAGATAAGAATTTAATAATTAAATTTGAAAGGTAATTTGGTTCTTTTAATATTTAAATTTAAATTTATATCATACTTAGATTTTGTTTCTTCAGAAGAAATATAAATTTAATTAGTATTTAAATAATTAATGTTTGATGTCACGACTCTAAAATCTCTCACAGTAAGTGTAGCATTTATTAAAGATATTATTAAAACAGATCAAAATAAAAAATATCATGTGTAATAACATAAAATATAATGAATCAGATATACATTTTTCTATTTTAAAAGCAAACGAATTAAATATGCGAATGCTTATTCTTTAAATTTATGCAAATATCTACACCATTTAACCTTTTGTTTGCACATAATTTAGATATAATATGTATTAGATAGATAGTGTTTATAGACAAAAATTCTAAGTTCAAAAAATGAATCTCTAAATTTGGATTCATGTAACTGCATGTGGGTTGTCAGTAACAATATTTCTTAATTCCATAAATTAATACCTTTTTATATATTTTTTAAGTGCAAGTATGATTCCTTGTTGTCTAGTGATGTATTTGCTTGACCAAACCAAGCCCAAGAAAGCATTGCATGTAGAGTTTGCCGGAACTAAAATCCTTGTCACAAATTGAATGAATTATATATATATATATATATTTATGAATTTGTAAGATTCAAAGCCTATAGAAAGTGTGACGAAATCTCTAAAGTTTGTCTCCTCGATAAAAGCTAGATTAAATCTAAACTAATATCACAAGATGAAAAGACAATTCTGTCCAAAATTATGAAAACTGGGACCGCCTCAAACAGCGGCAAGTTCAAGTGACAGCTAAGCAAGGGTACTTTTGTCAATCCGTCATAATTATAGGCATCAACCCGCCGTCTGCAAGCAAGGAATAACCTCTTTTTGAAACGCTGCAATACCAAAATTGCCCTCTCTTGCAACTATCGAGCAGCCAAAGGCAATGGCATATTCGTTATAATTTCATATTTGGGGGGTTTTATATTCCCCGTCTTCTTCTTCCCCTCTCAAATTCATCAGAATTTTCGAGAGAGAGAGAGAGATAGAGAGAGATTACGATCTTTGAGAATGCAGACTCAGGTATGAAACGATTTAATTTCTAAAAAATTATTCTTTTTAAAGTATTTTTCTGTTAAAGTCGAACGATTTATTTTGGATTGAAGTAATAATCTTTTTTTTTTGAATTTTATTTTTAGACGAGAACAGTACGAGTTGGGAACATCTCGGATCTAGCTGGAGAGCGAGAGGTTCGAGAATTCTTCTCGTTTTCTGGCGACATTGAGCACGTTGATGTTCAAAGGTATAATCTTGAATCCTCCCTTTTCAAAATTTTGATTGAAAATGTAACAGATTTTAGGGTTTCATTGAAGTCAAATTCATCGTTTTCAGGTTTTGTGAACCTGGATCTCGGAGAACTGCGTTTGTTACATTTAAAGATCCAAAGGCGCTGGAGATTGCATTGTTTTTATCAGTAATTTAAATTTTCTTATATGAGTTTCTCCAAAAAAATTCTTTGGGATTATATGATGACGGTAGCATTTTAGCTCTGTAGGAAATGATTATAAAGGTCTAAATGTATTAATATTTAATACTACTATTAGAAAGGATGACGTTTATATATAGGCATAATCTTTGTGCAGTTGAATAAACGATTGTCAAATAGTTTGATTATTATTCGTCTAGTTATTCGTTCATATTCGATTCGAGAGATCATTTAAGAGAAATCATATTGTTTTTAGGAACATGATTTAAGGACCCAAAATATGGGACCAATGGAGGGGACAGGTGATGTGTCACCTCCCTATTGAATAATGAGTTGGCATGGCCAACTCATTATGCAATAGGGAGGTGACACATCACCTGTCCCCTCTATTGGTCCCATATTTTGGGTCCCCGTAACAGCACTCTTGTTTTTAATATTCAGATATTAAATGAATTAAATATAAACATGTACTTATTTGATCCGTTTGCTTATCAAATGTTAGTTTAAACTTTGATACCTTACAACTTTATACTATTATTCATATGATTTTATCATTTTAACCATCCTCAGATTTTTATATTTAGGTGTTATATTAAATTTGAGAGACTTAACAGTCCAAAATCAATGTGTTTAACCAAATATTCAAATTGCAGAAAATATCTTCTTAGCGAAATAGTTGGATATTTACAAACTATCGAATGTTAATCAAATAAAATGAATTTAAATATTTGATGATTATTTGTGTTTGATTTTTGATTTAAAGAAATTTAGAGAAGAGTTTTCCAATTCAGATTTGAGTTCAAAGATTTTAAACAAATAAAAATATGAACACCTCAATCCTGTATTCACGTTTGTTATATTCATGTGTGTGGCTTGTTGAATTGTTATTTTCCTTTGATCATAACACCATCTAGAAGATTCTGAGTACTGAGTTTAAGAAGAGTCCAAAGCATTGTGTTAAAGCTATTCTTTTATTTTTTTGCGTAGTGTACAGTGAGATGCTGCACATGTTAACCAGTAATTACAGTGGAGATGAAGTAGTGTATTTTGCATATGAAGGATTGATTATAACAGAGAGAAAGAAAGGGAGTCTATAATTTTTTATGGTTTGGGTGTTTATCATATCAAAAAAGAGGATTAATCTGCAGAAAGTATTTAGGTTGTCAGCTATAAGTTTTACATATGCACAATTAAAAGCTTCCTTCCTTTGCTTCTTTCAATGTTTTAAAATTGTTTTCTATAGTTAGTTAAAGCAGATATGGTTTTTGTCAGACCTTATTATAAAGGGCATAATAGAACAGTTTGTTAATTTTTTTAGTCAGTGGATATGAAACGAGAATTAAATAATAATAATGATCACCCGTTGTTAGTTGATTGTAATGAAAGTTAGTTAATTAAACTAAAATTTCTAAGATAATATAATACATGATAAATATGACTATGACATAGGAACATGTGTTTTAAGACTTTTAAGTATTTAAGTTATATTAATAAGATATTACCAGATATTGTATCACCTTTTTTTTCATCCGGATTCTACTGTTTTGACAAAAGTGCAAGTAGAATAATCTAATTCCACACCTTAAATAATTTGTGTAATCTAGTCTTTGTTGTGACTTGTGCAGGGAGCTACAATTGTAGACCAGATAGTAAGCGTAACTTCAGCTGAAAATTACACCCCCAAAGTCGAGGAGGTACCGACATCCTCTGAAGACATCATATATTTCATGGGGCCTGCTTTAGTTATTCTAATATCCTTCTATTGTGGTCGTGCAGGAATTTGTACTCGGGCAGGTGACGAATCTAACGACTGTGACTCATCTTGGGGATAATGTGCCAACTATTGAGGTGGTCTCAACTCTCTGTAATTTTTTTTCTCATGCCTTGTTGCCTTGTTTTGAGGAAAGTGTTCTGTTTATTGTGCTAAGTTGCTCTCAATCTACAGGCTAGAAGTAGTCACGGCAGTGGATGCATAAATGTCACTAAAGCACAAGAAATTGTAACTAGTATGCTGGCACGGGGTTCAGCAATCCGGCAAGACGCCGTGAGCAAAGCCAGGGCATTCGATGAGAAGCATAACTTGACTGCCAGTGCATCTGCTAAGGTCATCTCCTTTGATAAGCGTGTGGGTCTTTCTGAGAAGATAACAGTGGGAATCACAGTTGTGAATGAGAAAATGAGATCTGTTGATCAAAGACTTCAGGTTTCTGATAAAACAATGGCTGCCTTAACTGTCGCTGAGCGAAGGTTGGTTAATACAAGCACAACTGTAAAAACAAACAGGTAATACATGTATTTCTTCACCAGTGTTATATGCATACGAATATAGTAAATATTTAAAAAGATAAGTATAAAGTGAAGTGTTCAGAAGTTAAGCAAAAAAGTATAATCTTTGAGGAAAAGTATAAGCTTGAAATAAGTATTCAATCTTTATAATAATTTATCCTGTCTGCATGTGTGTGTCTGGGTGTGTCTGCCTATGAACAAAAGCATAAGCTTCAGCAGAAAAGTATGACTTCAAAGAAACATTCATTTTTTTCGTAATAAATACAATATGCATGTGTGTCTGGGTGTGTCATTGACTCATTGTAAAGTTCAGAGCAATGGGAAAGCTCAGAGTGGGTCATCCGAAAAACCCTACTTGACATGGCTCGAGAGCTAGAGAGAGCTATAAACATGAAATATTGTTGTTCAATTATGAGGATTTGAAGTAGAGTCAAGTTGGTATGTATGTTCCAACCTACTATCATTCCTAATAATCCAAGAAAAATAAAAATTTGAGCCACTGAAGTCGGGCTCAGAAAGGTGGGTCAGCAGAGAGCCCTGCTTGAGAGAGCTTGAGAGCCATATAGAGAAGAGCTAGAGAGAAAGAGAGGTTGATCCTATTGATTGTCACTACTGTTATTCATTGTAGCCTGGGGTTCATAATAAATCATCACAATGGTTTATCCTAATATTTTGTTCTTAACCAACTTGCATTTTTTATTTCAGTTGTGATCTCTTATATATAGTAGCTACTATTAATTATTAATTATCGATATTAGAGAATAGTTTGACTGGTATAATTACAGTTAACTGGTATAATTACAGTTACTAACTCTTGATGTTTATATAATTGTAGCTTAATTATATTATAGCCTTGCCTTCGACTGGGTTGTATTGTATGTTGTTCACTCTGGTAAAATATCTATATAGTTTCTTAACCTAGGGATTGGACTCCATATAAATTAATTACCAAAAGACTTTCAAGATGCATTGACCTTTTGGGACCAGAGTTGCAAGCATGCAAAAATATAATCTGTCATAGTCTTTGAAATAATTGCTAATCTAGTTCATGTAAATGGTCAGGTATGTTACTGCTGGAACAGCATGGTTGAACGGTGCATTTGGCAAGGTTGCAAAGGTTGGTCACGTGGCTGGTATGAAAACCAAAGAGAAATTCCAATTAGCAGTATCAAACATGAGTGCAAAGGTAAGAGCAGCTCGCACTTTATCTACTGACTTAACCAGCACATCAACTGACAGTGTATTATAAAAATTACCTCACATTTCAAATATCTTGTTGAGATTTAATGCATTTAGATATGGACTTCACGCTGAACACTTTCCTGAAACCTGATTTTGTTTTTGTTCTCAAAAGATCTTGCTTCTCTTCCTGTAAGGCTAATCAATTAACAAAGATGAAAGTAGTAGGTACTTGGGTCTTTTGACTGGCTTAAAGAGAGATCTTGGGCCTGATCTTCAGTTGAGCGTGGTAAGGCACGTCTGAGCTTGACTTTGCATCATGTGTTTGGCTGGCAAGAAAGAGTCAACACAAGCTTCATCTTGAAGCAAGCATGAATACAGAGTAACTTGACTAATTTCCTCCAATCTCATACTCAAGAGAGTGAAAAGGGAAGGTCAGCTTGAGTTTAGAGTAACTTTGCTAATTTCCTCTGCTGTCATGCTCAAGAGTGAGTGAATGTCAGCTTGAGTTACTGCACATAATTAGCATGTTCAAGTGAGCTTGCTGTTATGGATGTTTTACCGCATTATAACTCTATAATTTTGCTATAAAGTTGTATAGCACTTCCTGCAGTAGTTCCTCCCATGTAATGGCAGAGAACTTCATAATTTTGTTTTTGAAGTCAATTAATGACAAGTGGTGAACTTCAGATGAGTTCATTTTTAGGGAAAATTGGCTTCTAGCCCCCTGGGTTTGGAAGGATTGGGATCCTCTACTAATGCATAGTGCCTCCTAATATCTCCTAATGCATCTCCACCTTTCATTGCAAGGATTGGGATCCTCTACTAATGCATAGTGCCTCCTAATATCTCCTAATGCATCTCCACCTTTCATTGCATAGTACCTCCTCGTATTTTGTATCTCCTAATGCATCTCCACCTTTCATTGCATAGTACCTCCTCGTATTTTGTGCTTATGCACAAAATGAAGGTGGAGATATTAGGAGACACTATGCATTAGTAGAGGATCCCAATCCGGTTTGGAAATGTGTGCTCCCCCCTTCTTTTGACCTTTTCTCATGTCTTTACCCCCTTGGACTTATTTTGACCGTCAAGAATGCAAACTGACTTGTTTGCACTTTGCAAATGTGGAATAAATTTGAGCTATTTATGTGGATTCAAAACCTTCTCAATTTTTAGCAACTCATCCTCAACTAGCAGCTGTCAATGTCAGGTAACTGTAAGCGTTGCTGATCTCCTTCTGGCTCAAATTTATACCTACTAGGAATGATCATTCAAAAAGCCACGAGAAAATAGTGTTTTCATCTTGTCACTCTTTTCCTAATTGCTCTGTAATGGTTAATCGAGTCACTAATTCTTGCTATAGAGATGAGTATGATAATCTGAATGATATTCAGTATAAGGTGGGTATGCTTAGTTGGATTTGTCTAGGTTGCAGTTTGCTCAGGAGCTAAGTTGCATGGAAACGGGCACGGGTACTGGTACGGGTGCGGGTGCGGGTACGGGACACGACAAAACTGTAAAATGTAGGGTACAGGGACATGACTAAATATATATTGAATTAATATTGTACATAAGATAATTTTTCCCCTTCATGTGTCATTAGAATTAAAATTCTGATCACATTTTTGAGTTTCTTTTATCATATTGATTATCGTGAATTGTAAACTACTCATTTTTTACTAGACATCTAAACGACCCATTAACTATATAGTTTTAAACTTGGGTATGGACTGAAACGAATCCAACCCGTATCTCATTAGTTTCAAAAGATGGATGTGACGTGTAAGCTCTACGTCCAGGAAGTCTTTGACAAGTGTTTTAAATTAACACATATATCGTATAATTGAGTACATGTTGTAATAAATGCATGCATATATTCAAGAAGTGTCCATGAAGTTTGGGTACGGAAAAGTGTCGGGTACGCATATATTCAAGAAGTGTCCATGAAGTTTGGGTACGGAAAAGTGTCGGGTACGTGTCCGGTACGGGTACGACTTCATTATAGAAGTACCCGGGTAACATAGCTCAGGAGAGTTCCTTTTTTAAGGATTGGTTAAATATAGTATGTTTTGTTATATGTCTTTAAAGCCTCAATCTGACAGTTAATTTAAAAAGAAAAGCAATTATTTTAAGGAGGGAATGCATGATGAGAATTCTGCATCTTTAAAGTTCACATTGCTAAAAATGTACAGGTGAAGGACATGTAAAATTAACGATTGGATAAATACAGTAGCTTTTTTATTTCTGTACCTTAAAAGCCACAGTCTAATAGTTATTTGAAAAAGGAAAGCAACTAGTTTAAGAAGGAAATGCATGATGAGATTCGTACATCTTTAATGTTCATATTGCTAAAAATGTACAGTTGAAGGATATGTGAAATTATTGACTGGATAAATACATTAGTTTTCCATACCTTAAAAGCCACAATCTGATAGTTATTTGAAAAAGGAAAAGCAATTACTTTAAGGAGAAATGCATGGTGAGAATTCTAATTAAGTTGAACTTTAAGGCCTATAAGCCAGGTAGTGAAAGTCACAAGAAAACTGTTAACTAAAACTTGCAAAATGCATTGGCCCAAAGGACCACCACTTAGTCATTGATACTCCGCTTCGTTAAGTTCTTGGGTCACAGTTTAAGCGATGTGAATTTGGAGCACACCATGAATCAGGTCAGACTAATCCAGACCAGAATCATGTAAGTGCTGATGTGAACTAGATTAGTCTGGGTTAATGAATATTATTATTATTTTTTTTTGGACTGAACTGTTTCTGGGATCCTGTAGCAAAATTAACCATATGACTAAATATTGACCTTTGCATAACCACAATTGTTGCAATGTACAATTGATCTTTATGAGGAAACTTTAAGTATGATGCAAGTCTTGGAAAATACGGGGATAGAAGATATAATGGGATGATTGGCATCACTGCCAACTAAATTCTAGTGAATTTTTGGTGTTCTTTTTCATGTTAAATGTTTTCATTCATGAGAAGTTTTAACTGATAGATGATAATACTCAGCTAAAAAGATGTTCATGAAAATTTCAGAGGAACTTTATGAACTAGCATTCTAGCAAGATCCCTGATAAGAACTTAGAAAATTTTAGAGGAACTTTATGAACGAGCAAGATCCCTGATAAGAGATGGATTTCACTGTAGTTTGTTTTTCTATAATTTGAAGAGAGGTATTGTTTATAGCAGTTATTGATGAAACATTTGCTAAATAATGTTATAGAAACTTTTGTAGGAAAGTCGAAAGAAAGTATGTTAGTGTTGGGAAAATATCAGATACGCTCTGACACCCGTTCTGTGGAATTTGTCCTACCGGATTTTGTGTTAAGCAATGGAAAAAAGAAATCACACCAAATCAAAAAAAAATTGCAAGAACAGAGAACACCGAGTTTTAACGAGTATCGGCAATTTGCTTACGTCCTCGGGAGCCACACAAATAATTTCCTTTATATTAAAGAAGATTACAAAGCTTGTAAAGAGCAAATCTCAACTTAAGATCTCTCAAAAGAAGAACCAACAGAAACTCTGTTGTTCAAAATAAAAGGCGCGAGTTTTTCCAACGGGAAAAACTCCTCTCTCTCAATAAATGCTATAGGAGATCTCTCTCTCTCTCTTCTTAAATTTCCCCTTCCTTTCTAATTTCCCCCAAATCACAGACTTGGCCTCTGGAAATAAATGAAGAAGAAAGACCGCCTGTTGAAGAGATTGCGAGCGAGAGAGAGAAGAACAAGGCGGCGGCAGCAGCAAGGGGGCTCTGGGTTTCCCTTTTATAGGGAAACCATAGCCAGGCCGTCGACAGCTGCGCACAATCTCACCTGCGAGAAAACGACAGAACCCTTGATCTCGCCTGAAACGAAAACTCGCCTGGAGGAGATGTCGCCTGCAGCTCTTCGCGAGCTCCCCTGCTCGTGGTCGATCTCGCCTGCTCATGGGACCCGCTCGAGTTCAAGTTCGCCTGCAACTAAACTCCGCCAGCAGCCCTTCAAAATCCGCTCGAGCTCGCCTGTTCAAGATCTGCGACCTCGCCTTCTCCAACTCAACTTCGTCTGAAGTCACCGAGAACCTCGCCTTCGCTGCTGACAAGGTAAGGGCTTACACCCATTTCCAACAATCTCCCACTTGGAGACCATACCGTTATCAGCAAGCTCTCTCTCTTAACAAGCATCTTCTCTTATGTGGCTCCGCCCTCATCTCTTACATATAAAGACCAACTGAAGTTGTGCACAACTCCAGTTTCTGGATGGTGACTGCTTTAGTCAACATATCTGCAGGATTTTGGCTCCCCAAAATCTTTTCTAACTGTAACTTCCCGTCCTCAATCATCGAGCGTATGATAACTCGATGTGTTTCGTTCTGGTATGAAATATTGGATTTTTGGTAAGGTGTATAGCATTCTGGCTATCACAATAAAGGACTTCGTTCCCCCGCTTCAGACCCAACTCTTTCAGGCACCCGGTTAACCAAATCATCTCCTTGCTCGCCTCGGTCACTGCGACATACTCTGCATCAGTTGTGAATAACGTCACAATCTTCTGCAAACGGGAGACCCAACTCACTGCTGTCGACCCTGAGGTATAAACATACTCCGTGGTGCTTCGTCTCGTATCATGATCACCGGCAAAATCTGCATCCACATATCCCTGTAGTACCAACTCTTTTCTCCCGAAACACAGTGGCATATTCGTAGTCTCTTTCAGATATCGTAATATCCACTTCACGGCCTCCCAATACTCCTTTCTTGGATTGCTTGCAAACCTGCTCACAACTCCCACTGCATGGGCAATATCCGGTCTCGTGCAAACCATTGCATACATCAGACTACCAATGGCTGATGAATATCGCACCTTCCTCAAGTGCTCCTTCTCCGCATCAGTCTTGGGTGATTGTTCACCAGACAACTTGAATTGGCTTTCAAGGGGCGTGCTAACGACCTTAGCATTCTGCATGTTGAATCTCTGAAGTACTTTCTCGATATATTCAGACCGACTCAACT